CTATTATGGCACTAGGTCCGAAAACCGCGATCTAACCGAGCAAAGCGAGGTTAGAATAGCGTTTTATCTGGTCTAGCGACATAAAAATACTTTTGCGTACAGAGATTCGGGATAGACATTTTCCGCATATATAGTCTGATATTTTTTCACTGTTCACGGTTCGGAGGATACGATATGGATTCTTTTCCATATATATCACAAGGTACGAAAGATAGGGAGGAAACGTAAGAATAGAAAGATTCATCAAAAGATATGAACTTAATCGGAAGAATTTTAGAAGACGACTTCTCAACACGATAAAATCGCAAGAAAAATTGTTTCAATTTTTCCCCCCGTTATCTTAATTACGAGAGAATCGGTTTGTACGGAAAAAACTGTAGAATAGGTCGGTCTCACAATGAAAATAGAAAAAACGCGAAGCCATTTGCTGCTCCTGTACACGAAGAGTTGCAATAAAGTTGAGAGAAATGGTTGGTACTTATAGCAATGTATAATTTTAGAACTCTACTGCAGTAATTATAGCAGTGGCAGTTACTTTTAATGTTCTCAGTATATATCCGGATTTTTGATGAATTTATGATTACAGAATGTACCAATGCTTATCATGCAATATATCAGAATTGTAGTTCCGGTTGTGAAGAGAGTTTAACAAAGTGAGATCTGCATATTTTTAATGGAGCAATGTGATAAGTTTGCTCAGTTTGGTCGATTAATTATGGAATTATTTCGAGAATGAGTGATGCTGAGACCAAATGTCAGAAGAGTTTCTACACAAAGAATTTCCTCAGTTACAAAGAAATTTTCTGGACGCTGTGTTAGGAGAAAATACCTAATCTCAGAAATGATTGCTTAACATTTCACGAAAATGTCATATTCAGACGTTTATTTCCTCGACGTTTATTTTTATGGCGCTACCTTTAACAATATGTAATTTGTTGAAGTTTTATGTATGACACAAGTTCCTAGGAAAACCTAGTGTTTTCTCTAAGGAATTCCGGTGAATTTCTATTGAAATTCTGTGAGGATTTTATTCGAACTCCATTAAAATTCTACTAAAAAGGTGACTGGTTTGTTGTGTTGATTTGGAGTTTTGTCTATGAAATATTCTTTTGAGATTGTTTGTGCGTTTTTTATATGTAGAAGATCAAGATGAGACAAACCGAGACAAAAACAGACATTTTACATTAGAAAACACGAAAAACTTGATGCAGAAATAAGATAAATTGACTCGGAGTCATCACGAGAGGAGTCGATACTACGTAGGGGAGGGTAGGGTCAAACGGACCAGATGGGAAAAACGGACCCCTAGGGCAAAATGGACCACTAACAGAAAATGAATCATCTTTATTCTCGCTTCCGAATGGAAGCTTTGTAATCGTGATTTTTTTCGATTTCTTAATTTTGGATGAAAATGTCTAGAAATGTCCTGAAACGTGAAGAAATGATGTTTTTAAAGAATGTCTGTATATGTTTAGGTATGTGTGTGCACATGTGTATTCGTATGTTCGTATGTGTGTTCGTATGTTTAACACATTCAGTGTTCCTGATTTGAAGGAAAGAAAAAAAAAATTACCAATTTTCTGTCAGTGGTCCGTTTTGCCCTTGGAATCCGTTTTGCCCTGCCATCCTCCCGGTCTGTTTTGCCCTACCCTCCCCTATTATAAGACTGAGACAAGACCAAAGATTTTCCATTTTCATTGAGACCGAGACCATCTCTCCAAAGGATTTTCTCGTCAAGTTTCTTGCGGTATAACTAAAAAAATTCTAGAAAATTTCTCTCCGTACTACGGGTCGCACATGATCCAACCGAAATATCGAACGCACAATTTCAACTGAATACGGAGAAAAAAAGTTGGAGAAAAATGACCAAACAAGTCATATCATCGCGGAGCGGAATCCATTTCTAGGTATTTTTCAGTGCATATCAAGGTAAAAACACGAGAAAATAGTGAACTTTTCTCCGCTGACTTCAGAAAATTCACTAAACGTGAGGGTAATTTATGCCGAAATTGCAGAATTTACCGTTCATGCTATTAAAAAGTATCTCACGAATGTGAATGAATAAATTAAACATATGTGGAGGAATTTTTTTGTGACGGAGAATGATATTATTTACCAAACGCAGTATGGTAGAATCCCACTTTCGTCCGTCCCCATATTTTTCACATCGGAGCCAGAAAAAAACCCTGCCGTTTCGGAAATTTTATTGTACAGGGAACAGTAACTTTTGCATCCATAGATGTGTTTTTGTTGAGGGGAGACTACTGTAAGTTTTAAAAGTCGTGAGTTATTGGAGTGAGGCTTTTCATACGATGAATATCGATTATATAGATCTGAAAACAAATAATTAGTGCAAAAAAAAAATTTTTATTTGGTAAATCAGCTGTGTAGGAGTCGAATTCAAAAAAACTGGCTCGTAATTGTTATTCCATACATTTTTCCAAAAATTTTGGAAAAAACAATCTTTTGTAAGCGTTTTCGGGCAAACGAACAATTAAAAATTTTTTTTTTTACACTAATTACACGTTTTCAGATCTATATAATCGATCTTCAACGTATGAAAAATCTCACTCCAAGAATCCACGACTTTTAAAACTCACAATAATCTCCCCTTAACGAACGAATAGTACACTGATAGACTGATCTATTTATTCCAAATGAGATTCGTTAACTGTTAACGCATGGTAGAGTTGGATATGACCAAATGAATATTCGTTAATAGTTAACGAATAGTTCACTTGAAAAGCGAAAATCGAGTCAAACAAGGCTCCTCAAATGTGCATTTGTTAACTATTAACGAATGAGCATTTGGTGAGATAGAATAGACCCTAGTCTCCAACCAAATCCATTCGTTAACAATAACTAATCCTTTCTATCAGTGTAAGATATCCTCTGCAAATGGTATTTTTTATTAAACTACAATTTAGGTCCAAGATTACCTTTCGTACATTAAAATTTGCCACAATTTTCTATTACTTTTTATTCAACTTTTCTCTCCGTGAAGAATGGCCTTCCCGTCTCGGTCGTATTATTTGCATTGCCAGATATGTGCTTGAAACATGTAGGACGTCTTCCCTCATCTCTATTTTTCAGGAGAATGTACCTTCACTTCTCATATAAAAATTGTGTCATCAGCATCTCTCGTTAGATAAGAAAAACTTCGCGCAATGTCAGAATTTTCTAGAATATCCCCTAAGTAGAACTTTCCTTGTTTATCCGTGATGCACTGATCATCCTGAAGAAACTTCCTTCAGTAATTCCCCGGATCTTTATGGTTAAGGGGAAACGGAACCCCTACGTTTATATGAATCTTTAGAATTGTGTTTTCTCCTGCAATTATTATTTTTTATTCATTAAACTAATTCATTGACTCAACAATGCGATAATCTAGTCGATAAAGTAATTTCATAGATAGAAATTAATAATTGTAGGAGAAAACACAATTCTAAGATTTTGAAGTTGAAAAAATTTATGTTTTCACATAGAAATTCAATTCGAGTTGCAATTGTCCGTAAAAAAAATAAATCCCCATGAAAATGTAAAAACATGACTTTTTTTTAATTAATGGAATTATAAAAAAAATCACGTTAAGGATTTGAATTTTCAAATTTGATATCGAATTAAAGCTTAAATTGAATTGAATTTTCATTTTCATTGAGAATTGCACCTAATACCGACTAATTACTTCAAATATAGTTTAAGACAAGTTTCCTATGGATTTCTTTGACTTTGCACTCTTTTCTCAGTTTCAGTAATAAAAACAATTCAAATTCAAATTATCATTGACAACGTTGTAATATTTCCCAGCCAAAAATTGAGAACAAATCATTCAACTTGATGTGGATTCAATTCAATTTAATGCCTTTGATAATCAACTGACAATTATTTATCTCCCGAGCAAGCGGAATTGTTCCAAATATCACAATGACCAGAAATGCGAAAGTAACAGATAGAAACCCACTCAGTTCCAATAAATTCCTTCTGAATTGCCCCTCAAAAGTATTCAGTGGCATCGTAAAAATCTCCCTCCTGTGCCGTGTTTTTCCCACGGCTAACGAAGGCACGATAAATTTTCAAAGAAATATCTTTTAGTTTCGCATTCCATGTGGACAGGAAAAGGAAAACATGAAGATACCATAAAGAAAATGATAAAATTACAAATTGCACTATGTTCTCTGGGGCAAATGTGTTGAACTTTCTGAATTCAATGCAATAAAAGTGTTTATGAATGATTCACAATTTCAAAATTCACAATTTTAAAACCGAAGATTGAAGGTTGGAAATCAGGCAATAAAACCTTAATAGAATATGTCATTTTCATTCCTGATAGGGAAATTTATTACTAAAAGTCAAAAAGATTTCTTATTTGAACAATTAATTAGATAGTGAATTGCCTAGAGAAAAATGTGCATCTATTTCTAAAAATTAATTCAAAATATCGCAATCTATTAAGAGAAAGTAGAATTTTGATAAATAACGACTATACAGACTTTGCTTGTGTGCAGGGAAGATCTGCTAATTAGGTCTCAAGATCACGTTACCGAGATGATTACTTGTTGTAGTGGCAATGAAGGGGTTACGAAAAGGGTCGCAAAAAGATGATTCTTTAAATGTCTCATCTCCGATTATATCTAATGAAAATTGAAGAGAAATTTCCTCCGAAAAAACTTGGTTTCATCGATGATCGACAAGTTTGAGATTTCGTTTGAATCTTTCTGTTAGTGATTACATTACCAAGTTCTGACTAATAAACGAGTAAATCTTTGTGACATCGTTTTTGTCATCCTGAAAATTTCCAAAAAAAACTCTTCTCGAATTTCGCCTTATAGTGTCATATTTTCCAGAAAATTGACTGATTAACCGAATTCTTCCATTGGACTAGATTCGTATCTCCACTTCGATGAGAATACACTACAGACATTGCAATTCCGCAAATTTTCTTCCACGTGAGGAATATCTCTCCACTAATTTCACGAAATCTCACATAATTTCTACCTTACCCCTATTCTCGGCCTCTCCAACCAGTGTCATCAGTCACAGTGACGCGAATAAGCCGGAGAATCCTATCCACCAACTCTCCAATAAATCTCCTGTTTTACAGTAGCTGGCCCAAACCTTTTACGATGTTTTCTTCATTTTTTTTTTCACTCCCAAGGACTTGTATTTGTTCCAAAGCCCGGAAACATTTCTGGTCGAGAAAGGTCGTATACCGATGCGTTTCTCAATTTTTCAGTTTTTTCTTAATAAAGCTCAGTTCCCATAATTAAAAAAAGTAAAAATAGCTAAAACATTAGCGAAGAAGCTTGAACTGTCTGAAATTTTGAAAATAACAAAAAAATCACTTAACGGAATATGCTCCTTTCAAGCACAATAATGAATGAAATATCACTTGTTGCAACTGAAATAAAATAAAATCACTAATATTCTCCACTAATTCACCGCATGATCGATTTTACCACAGGTTTGCCCTCATTTTTCATTTCGGCGTTTCATGATGAATAAAGCACGAGAAATTAATACACTTTGATGGCTTTATTTTCTTCCCTCCATCCGATTATCATCGGTGCGATGGTTCACTCTTAACTGACAGCTTCTGTAATTCAATATTCGAGGGAATCACGGGGAATAAACCGCGGAGAAGCTTAATGCATCGATCAGACACGAGAGCAAATGTCCGTCACTTTGAAACGGCGATGAAGTAGTTGAAGTATTTAAAAATCTATTTTTTTTATTGTGATTGAGGCTTTTTATTTTGAATAGAGGGAATAGCGCGGAGCGTTGAGTATACAAACGCATGGAGCGGCTGAAGCGCTGGCACTGAAGCTTTTCACGGTAGGGGCTTACCCCCAGCGGTGGACCTGGGGGGTGGGACTCGGGTGGCATCGAGTGCCCGGGCTCGACAACGCGCGGAGCCACACGTTTTACCCTGATGTTGGGATTTAAGTTTTAGTTCAATTAAGATTTCGGTTATTTGAGGCATTGAAATTATGGGACATTTAATTTACAAAAACATGTGTTTTTGTTTTCCAGGAATATTTCAATTTTTTTTTAAACAAGCAAAGAATCGTTTTCATATCGTAACTTATTTTTTTCAATTCAACTCAATTGTTTTTTTCACAACACAGAACATCCTTTTAAATCATAATTGAAGGGAAGCAAATAGTTCTACTCCAGATTCATTGTTTCTACCGACTTTTGATCGTTTATTTAAGATTTTCAGACTTGGTTTGTTTCTCCCCTTCGATTTTTTCTTTGATTTTCTATGGGGATCGTATTTTTTGGTGAGATGGACTGATTTCCTTTCAGGAGCAGTCGAACAAAATGTTCGCTTGATAGATATTTTTATAAAAACATTTACATTTGTTTTTTTATTTTGAAGATATTACTAAAAATTATTTTCTCTCGTATACCCTCTCGGGTTTTTACGATTTGTTCCCATCCCACCCCCCAACCCCTGTACCACATTCGCCGAAGGACGAGGGAAACCCTCACTTGAGGGAAAAACCTGCCCAGGTACAGTCGTCCCTTTAACGAGACTCCCGCTCGACAGTGAAACTGTGAGATTAGAGTGTTACAAATTTTGGCTCCCCAGCTGGGTATCAAACCCGGGTCGCTCACGTGCCAATTCCATACTCTAACCTCACAGCCACGGCCATCGGTGAAGATATTATTAATTGTTTTAAAATAATTACAAACGTGTTTTCTTGTTCCTTGCATCTTACCGTAACCTAATTCAGAGCATTGTCCGTACGCAACTAAGATTATTTTCTGTTATCACTTGAAGGAAAATCCATACTTAGTATTAAAATGTGAACTATCCACGAACATCTAAGTTTAGTTTATCACATAATTTTCGATAAATAGCAGTTTTCTCAGATGCCAAACATAAACCATAACTATCTTGATCTCCGAAGTCCCGATGTAGATATGACGAGAATAAAAAATAGAACACAGAATTGATTCTTCGTTCTACTCTACTCTAATAAGTGATTTTAAGTGATAAAAGTACGTTTCCTGTCGAGTTTCCCGTGGTTCTCTATGACAATATCACGACTCACGTTTAAACATATTGGTGGCAACACTGTACTGCTCACCTAAGGAAAAACGATAATTTTCACATCCCAAACACGATTTCGAATGAAAATTATAGTCGCGTAGCATTCTTTGATTAAGCTAGATATTTAGAAGTCTTGGATCCTCAATTTTTATTTCAATTCCGATAAATTATTAAAAAAAGAAGATAGGGGCTGAGTGAACGGTACTGGCCGCATGCATCTAATACCGCTCAGTCTGATTCCTATATTGTTCAGCACCTAACGTCTAGTCAATAGCTGTCAAAAGAAAAAAATCATCGATGCTAGATTATGCAATGACAATGACATGAATGGAATTCAGATTTTATTTGATAAATTGAAATGCATAAGAACACGATGATATCGTGAAAATGTGTGACTGACACTTTAATCATTACTCCATGTTTTTTTGAGGGAATGATAATAAAATATTACGGCTATATGGCATTGGGACATTTTATTATTTTTTACACATTTACAGTTATATAATTGAATATTTATCCGTTATCATAATCCGAACAAGTCACCTAACGGCTTATACAGAATTATTGACGGCTTATACGGAATGTCACAGCCATTCTTATTTTCAAATTCTTCTTTCATGATCCCAAAATATCTCTTAAAATGAATTTTTATAAGAGGAATCATTAATTATGTTGTACTTGCAGGATTTTTTCCACAAACAATTGCATACGTGAGCTGTCAGGCACTGAGCGGCATCGGCCTCAAAACGAGCGATATTAGCCACACTGTCTGAACGGTAGTGGCGACATCGGCCGAATTCGAGAACACACTCCCTACTTATTAATTGAAAGATGAAAACAAGCAGCGCGACAGAAGCCATTTGACAAATTATATATGACTGCTACTCTCCACGTATTTTTTTCTCCTATTTTGATTTCTACCAATTTCATTGGTAGTAGGCTTACGAATGGATTCTAATGTATGTTTTCAAAAAAAGAAGGCATAAGGATTACCATTTTTTGAAAATATGAATGCCAATCCCATTCATACTTCATACAAAATATCGTTAGCTATTATTATCTATTTATGGAAAAATCATCCTTTTCATTATCACCATTTATGAATCATTTAGTCAGAATAAAGAAATTATTAGAATAAATAAATATGAAAAACAGTAGTGGTCACATGGGTAGGGTGCGGTGGCGGTCATCTATAGATGCTTATAAGCTTTGTCTCATTTTCCCCTATTTCTATAAAATAAATATGAAAAAACCATACATTCATATTACATGGTTTTCTCAGTTATTCTGATGTGCAAATGACCGATGAAATATAGATGCGTAATTTTTTTTCTCAAGAACTTTAGGTGAATTATTCCATCTCAAGAACTATCAAATATATAGACCTCAAATTTGATGGAGGACTGTTGCTTGATAATCCTAACTGGAAGCCGAAGTTTCAAAAGGTTTCCCTGACTTTTACCCATGTCATAGTACGCAAAAGCGAATTCCGACCAAAACAAGTTGACATTTCGATTTTTACGTCAGCTAGAAACCATACAACGACTTTTATTCAAAAATATGAAAATCCAAATATCTCGAAAAGTTTCTATGAACAGGTATATTTTGATTAATTAAGATAGAGGACAAAAAGACGAACATTGTGAAAAAAAATGACTGCACTAGGTTAGCTCGGTATTGAGATATTAAAGAAATTAAGCTTACATACACAATTGAATATTTCTGTAACTAATTATCCAATTTAGCCCAGATTCAATATGAACCGTTGTAATTACCAAAAGCAGCTCTCTGCCAAATTTCCAGTTGATATTTCGATTTTTACGCCTGCCAGAGACCATACGACTTTGAGTAAAAAATAGGATAATCGAAATATCTCCAAAACTTTATATGATGACCGACGTCGGTGGCCGAGTGGATTAGACGCAAGTCTAGTGTGCGAAAGGTTGTGAGTTCGATTCCCCGTGGAACCGAATTTTTCAACGGAAAGCTCCGGCGAGTGGGAGGTTGCTAATACAGGAACCGCCTGTACCGGCATGGGTTTTCTGTGGTTTCCCCATGCTACTTCTATGTTCTATAGGAGTGCGAATGCGGTACAGTGTAGAATCCACAGCCGATTTCATAGGGTTGGATAGAGTGCCGAATGGGACCCAAAAAGGGACTCCGAGGCCGTGAAAAAAAAAAAGAAAAAATTATATGAACAGGTATATATATTTTGATTGATAAAGGACATCAAGACAAATATTTTTGAAAAAAAAAATATTGCGATAAGTTAAATCGTTATTGAGATATGGGAGAAATTAGATTTACAGACAAAGTTGAATATCTCTGAAACTAATTATCCGATTCAGCCCAGATTCAATACGAACCGTTGATATTACTAGAGACACATTCATGCCAAATTTCAAGTTGATATTCTGATTTTTGCGTCCGCTAGAGACCGAACAACGATTTCGAGGTAAAAACAAGCAGTATGACGGAAGCTATTTGACAGATCACTCATGACTGTTACTTTTTGTGTAAATTTTTTTTTTTCAATTTTAATTTCTATCAATTCCATTGGTAGTATGCTTCCGAATGGAACTCGATCCATGTTTCTTAGAAATGAAAACTTATTGATTGGTATTTTTGAAAATGTTATGGCCAACAATACTCAAATTTCGTTACCTTTTGATGTACCATAGACTCTGCCCCTTTTACGTATGTACATTTTTTTTCCACCCATTAAAATAGAGAAGCAGCAACATTTTGAAATTTAGCTGAATACTATTATACCTTGAGAGCGGAGTTACTGTTTAAAAAAATTTCAATCATGACTTTCTGTTCCAATAGTTGATTAGAATAAATAGGGAGTGAGAATAAGTAAATATGCAAAATACTAGTGGTTATATGGGTAGCATGCGGCTGCGGTGGTTATAAAACTGTTACCTCATTTTCTCTATTTCTATAAAATGAAAGAAAAAATTTTTTTTTTTTTTATGTGATATGATCTTTCTAAGTCAGCCTAGAGTGAAAATGAACAGTTAAATATAGATGCGTTGATCCTTTTCTTCTTAAGAATCTTTGATAAATTGTTCTATCTCAGTAAGTATTCAATATATTGATCTAAAATTGGATATAGGAATGTTATTTGACAATCCTAACTAGTAGTCGATGTTTCAAAAGGTTTCTCTGATTTTAATCCATGTTATGGAGTTCAAGAGTGAATTCTGACCAAAAAAATACAAAAACGGCAATATCTTGAAAAATTTCTATAGTGGGGCATACATATTTTGATTCATTCAGATAGATGACATCAAGACGAACATTTTGAAGAAAAAAAAATTGAAAACGGTTATATAGTTTTTGAGATATTGAGCAAAACAGTTTCACATAAAAAGTTGAATACCTCAGAAACTACAGGTCCGATTTTGCTCATCCAAAATACCAAACTTTGTTATCACAAGATCTGAAATCCTACCAAGTTTGAAGTTTCTATCTCGATTATTTTTTAAGTTATCATGTTTACAAGCAATTTCAGCGAAAAAATGAAAAAACGAGAATAAAATCACATTGCTTGGGGTGTAATAGTCTTTTTAAGTTCCCGGGCAGGGAAGTTATTGTAATGCTCCCGAAAATGAAAAATCGATTTTCCATGATATCTCCACGTTTCAAGGTGTTTCTAATGTTCCTCGATAGTTTTTAACAAAATGTCTGTGGGTGTGTGTGTGTGTGTGTGTGTGTGTATGTGTGTTACTTTGTACGT